TTTAATTTTTCAAATGTAAACTGAACTTTATTGACTATAATGACTCCTTTTCCAGTCTTGGTTATTTAATTGTAATTAATTATTTGTTTGCAATCAAAAACTATTTTTAATAATGCCAAAGAAGTATAACTTCTTACGCGCGTACATAAGTACACGCACCCTTTTTTTTTAAAAGACAGTCAGTATAAAGAGAAAACTTTCAATACTTAGCTGTGCTACTTCTCCATGTACATAAATAAATAAATAAAAGCCTTTATTGTTGTTAACAAGTTTTACACAGAGTAGTATCGTGTGCCTAAAATTAATTTACTTATGACTAAAAAAACACATTTTGACTATTAACTAGAGTTTAACTAATATACTAACAATTTTACTATCTATTGATTATCGGCAAACGGTAGTTCGGTTACAACTTGTCCTCCGACAAAGGCCTCCTCTAAAGCTCTCCAGTCTTTTCTCATTTTTGCAGTGCGAGTCCATGTTGAACCCGCTATTTTCTTAACGTCATCCTCCCATCTCTTAGCCTGTCTTCCTCTATGTCTCTTTCCGTCTAAAGGGTACCATTCTGTGATAAGTTTTGTCCATTTTTCTTGCTTTTCTCTCATCATATGCCCTGTCCACCTCCACTTCAGCTGTTTGTATGTTGTGTATGCATTCTTAAACTTGGTTTTACTTTTGATGTCTATTAATTTTTGTCCATGTACATAGAGTAATGTTAATTATCTTTGAGTCAGTTTATACGAACAAATGATGAAGGATAAGGAAAACTGATATTATTAATTGCTTTACCGTGACAATTGTGTTATTATAATAACCGAGATGCTTAGTATAGATAATGTAGTTGGCATTCCATGTTGAAATATTTGTCCCTTTATTCATAAAAAATAACTAAACCTTTATAACTACGAATCTGTTTCGGTTTAGACGCAGGAATATATTGAATAATAATCAGAATCTCTGTAATCATATATTTGAAGCCAGCCATTTTTAGTATCATCATTTGTCATATACCATGGCAGTGTTAGCCGAGTGGCTGCAGCGTGTGCCACTCATCCGTAGGTCGTAGGTTTGAACTCCGGCTACAAATAAACTTTCTCTCTATGTATGCATTTAACACTGGCTCGTACGGTGAAGGAAAACGTCATGAAGAAACCTTAGACCCAAACACTCGACGGTATGTGACAAGTACAGGCTTACATACTTGCCTATTGGAAATAAATGATCAGGAAACAACAGAAATCAGAGGCCCAGACCTTAAAGGTTGTAGCGGCACTGTTTTTTTGTTATACTATATAGCAAAAATATATGCATACTTACCATCTGGATAAATAATTATTGCATGTATATTGATGAGATTATTATTGTTACCACATTGAACATTCCATCCCGACATCCGATCCTGACCACACAAACCTTCGTTATGTGACTTGACTAATATATTAAAATTAATTTTATCGAGTAACAAAGCTTTGTACTAAGTAGCTACTTAGTGCGTTCGCTAAGTATCTTTTTGCTATATAGGGTTGTTTTTGTAATTTATTTGTCCAGGAACTTAATGCAAGATATTTTCTCGAATAAAGTACCAATTTTTAAAAGGCCAACGCACTTGCGAGCCTTCTGTCAGTGTGGCCCATGGACCGCGGTATCATCAAGTGAGCCTCCTGCCCGTTTGCCCCCTGTTCTATAAAAAATGAATATATTTTATATTAGGTTTATAATTTTTGCAATAATAAATTCTACGTTAATGTTTGAATACAGCATTAAAAAATGAATAATTTTGTCACCCCAATGTGCGTCTGCATTGCGTTTTATTACTATCATATAGTAGCATTAAACATGCCCCAGAGCTCTAGTTACCTATCTAAAAAAAGCAGGTACTTTTAGTATGCAACTGTAGGAGGATATTTGTATGTCCTATTGTTTCCCTTTTTGTATGGAAACGCGAAACGTGCCTAGAAATTGTAAAGGTTCTATGAATCGACGTTTCATTGTATCACAGACATGTTTATGAATTTTTTTGAAATAAATATAAAAATATTACTGTTAAGACGACAAGTTGGTAAGACATTTTACAATATATTGCCACACATTAACGTATAGAATACACAAAAACTCTTTAATTAATCTATTAAATGTGAGATGTTAGTCTAATTAAATTACAGACACGAGAAGCAATGACTCTGTTTTGATCAATCACAATTAAACGATATGAGCCAACATATCGTCTTACATTTTCAAATCGCTTACCTGTGTTAATATCTTTCTTTCAATAATGTTTAAAAGTTTAAACAGTATAATACATGATCAAGTTTATTCATTACTCGTTTGTATGTTTGTAATATTTAAACCTATAAATGGCCAGTTACAATGTTTGGACAGTCATAATCTTACGTCTGTATTCTCAGACAGTGCGTTTATTAAAACAATAAACTCCGACTCGTACTTGCAATGTTCCGTTTAATTAATATGTTATAAATAAACATGACTTATATATATAATTAACGTTGTTTATTATTACGATTATTTAACGTTCGATGCTAAAACTGTCTTTACATAATATTCTTGTAAAAATTTTTGCAATACAATATAAATAAGTCATACTCTAGGGAAATAAGATTCAAGGACGGAAATTGCGCTAAATCTTGTCTCTGAATTTAACGGTTAGTTCAAACCCTTGTAAAATTATGTTTATTTAATTCAATATATTCAATATACTCGAACGCCAAATTTTCCATGTCATTTGTATAGTTTACAATTTGAACAATACATGTTCGTGCTTCCGTTTAATTCTGAATTCGCCCACACATGACACAACGCTTCTTAAGTAGGTATTCCATACAAAATGTTTATATTCTATTACAATAACTCAGAAACGAAATTTGGCGCTGAGGTCAGCCTCCAATAAAAAATTATTGGATTTTGACATAGTTCTCGCTAAGTATTGTTTCTGAATATCAGTCAGTCAGCACGTCCTGTTGCGGGCGCAACATGTTGACTCGCAGTCACACGAGCCAAGCTTTACAGCTTTACATATGATGGCACAGAGTCTGCCATATTCTCTCACTGTCACAATTTAGTGCACGTGTGGAATGGATTTTTGGTTCAGACGGCTGCTCCTCATTCTGATTGATCTAATCTCGACAGATGGCTAGATGCCAAGATAGCAAGCGTGATAACTATTGTATTGAGGATGCCTTTAGTGGTATAATATTAAACTGATTTAATATAGAACTACTATTTTTACGTTACGTGTTACCAAACTGAGAAGTCGGTATTTTTTATTCATTGACATATGAAATATCACTGTTTTTTATTTATCAACCTTGGGAGGGTGTTTCCATGCTCAAATAAGAACTCGTACAACATTACATTGTCCCCTATTTTGGTACAAACTATGCTTAAAATATTTAAAAAAAAATGTACAAAACAATCTATATTTGACGCGAGTCTCGACTTATTCCATATTATCTCTAAACGCGTATTGTCGAAGCAAATAGAATGGATTTTTAAGATCTCATAAAACGCACACACACTTACATACCCCCACACATTACATATTTCCACACACACCGATTTAAAAAAAAAATGAGTAAATCTTTGTTATAATACATAATGTTCTTCGCATGTACACATCTACAAAGCTAAAACAAAAATTACAAACCACACTAATTTAATAAATGTATGTTCTGAAAATTATTAATTCGTCGGGAAACCGCTTGACCACATGCCTTGACCACCATAACCACCTATCTGCTGATGTGTGTTCGCATGTACTATGGGAATTGTCATAATTCCTTACGGCTTTAATATAAAATGTGGAAGGCCCTGTTTGTAACCATTTTCAATAGTCATTTTAATAATGATTTTTATCACTGATATTTTATCATAAAAATGTAGTCTGTAGGGCCTAGCTATAACAAAAAATGTGTATCATCATAAATATCTTTAGTCTATGTTTTTAATAAAGCCAGTAATGTTTAAGATTAAATGTAAAAATAACAAAAAAGTTTGTATACTCTCGGACGAGGTTGAGGTTAACTTATGTCTGTGTTACCTGTAAATTAAAATAACAAATATCACATGCCAGTACATAAACTATTACAGCGACATAACCATTAAAATAAACAACCACGAATTATGATAAAATCGCCTTGTGGTCGAAATACAGCGATAACTGAATTCCTGAACAATAATATAAATAACCTTTGTAAGCTATTTCGGAATTTGTTTTGCCTTATTAAGCATTTATATGACAGAAACTTGAGTAATACTTACTCATGTTTCTTTAACTGGTGTACACTTTATTACCTTGGTGGTCCTATGTTATAGAATTTAAATTGCTTAATAGGCACGACTTTGATTTTATAAGCACAATTAATGATTATTTAATGATATTGTTTTAGTAGAATATTTCCCCAATTTTTCTCCTAAGATACGTTTACAGCAAGCCGATTTTTAGCCGTACCAACAGAGACTCTAACATAATTTAGGATTAACCTTTAAACTTAAGATATCTAAAGAGAACAGACTTGGCGATTATGCTAATACAATTCTTATTTGCTACGCGTTCATTTTAATAATCAAGATTACTGTCGAACCTTGATGACGTAACCAATCCATGTCAATATGTCAAAAATTTTATTTAGCTGCGGCGAAATCCAATCTCACAACGGTCCTCTTTTCGCACAGACTCTAAAACATATTTGAACTATGAATTTATTCTAGTATTTTTTTTGTATACGTTAACCGTATAAATTGACATGATCGACCTCTCATTTAAATGTAATTTAAGATCCTCCTTTTTTTTTCTTTAACCACTTTCAATTGATTTTGATTTGATTGATTGTAAGGCAAAAAGGATACATATGAATAACATCGATCAAGGAACAGATTAAACCTAAAACAAGACTGTTAGGTATTGATTTTTTTTTAGTTTCTATAAACAAGCTTAACTTTCAGTAATTTAGAAAGTTTTATTATATTCTTCATATTTTTTTCAGCCAATAAATAACGCAGACTTTGTGGTACCAGTGGAAATAGACGGCGCGGTCCATCAAGTGTATGTGCTTAAGAGGCCGCACGTTGACGAATTTCTGCGGCGCTGTGGGGAGTTGTATGAATGTGTGCTTTTCACCGCATCGTTGGCTAAATACGCGGATCCCGTCGCTGATCTTCTTGATAGGTAAGAAATATAGAAGACAAAAACTTGGTTTGCCTTAGACCCAAAACGTCGACAGCGTGTGTCAGGCAGTTACTTGCCTATTAGATTAACTAATGATCATGAAATAAGTTCAGAAATATGAGGCCCAGATCTAAAAAGGATGTAGCGCCACTGATTCATTTATTTTATAATGTCAATTGTCAAGGAAAATTATAATGAATTAACTTTTACGCCAATGTTTGTGGTCACTTCTAGGTGATAATCACAGACAAGTTCAAGAGGAGTGATCTGAGACAAAGTTTTCACAGATTTATTCTTCCTTCTAGACATAGCAATTTAATGCGTTTAATGAAAAAATAGGCTTTGTTATGCAGAAAACCGATTTTACTTTGTCTTAAGATGAGTTATTTTATACAGAAGCCCATACTTGCAAAAAAAGAGTGAAACGCGCTTTCCGTTTAACTTAGCGAAGTCTAAGGCGCAACCACCTGCGCCAGACAATAGCGAAACTTGAGAGTCAGACAGCCCACTCTTTTCATCGCATTTAAAGCAAAACAAACAGCATAGGAATAATTTTTGAAAGAGGTGCTAAAAGGGTCGCACAATGCGGGTTCAAGGGGCCTTAATGGTCGGGCTTTGACGTGAAATAGTCATTCCCCAATTTATTGCACACGGCAAATTGGTAAATTGTAGGTGGGGTGTCATAATTGGAACGTTTTGTCATAAAGGCTTGGCGATTTATGTATCTAATGTTTTAACAAAAGAATGGTCATCTCGTGAGAATTTTTCTCGTTACACGCAGATTTTCAGATAAGACTTAATTACTTAAAATAATGATTAATAAAATGTGTGATGTAAGTGTTACGGTTGGGTAAATGGAATTCAAAACTACTTATCGTTATAGCTACGAGACAGATTATTTTTTATATAAAAAAGTTGTCAAGCATTTTCTAAAGAAATAATAGACCAAAACTGTTTTACTAAAACAACTGTCTAGACTCTAGATGGAATATATAATATATACTTCAAGCATTTACGAAGTGAAAATATCAATAAAAACTATTGAATACATTTAACTAAATAAAATAAAATATGTTTATTATGGAACATAAGATACATGTATCACTTATTCCACGTCATTAAATTTGAATTTGTAGGCATCCCTACTCATCGGCAAAGAAGACAGAGGGTGTTGGCCGAGAGAAAAAGCCGGCGTAAAAAACTCTCGGTACTCTTTTAAAATAGCAAATCATCAAACAACACTTATTTTAAAACAAATATCGCAAATTAATTAGAAGTAGCCTGTCTAGCACTAGTCCCAGGCCCTTTTATCAAAACTAGATAATCGTTAACTTAAGTAATACCTAATTCGGCTGTGTTGTGTGATGGTGTGAAAATGAGTGTATGTACGTGAGGTGCTCATGATGCTTGTGATTTAGCGCTTAATACTCCTTTTAAGCATATTCCGCTATAGCTTAAACAAGCCAAGGCTTAAATAGTCGTTGTATGTAAATTTTATGGACTTAAGTTTCAATGTTATTCTAGATGGGGCGTATTCCGAGCGCGATTGTTCCGCGACAGTTGCGTATTCCACCGAGGTAACTATGTGAAAGACCTGAACAGTTTAGGCAGAGATCTGCGACGCGTCGTTATTGTCGACAACTCGCCAGCTTCATACATATTCCATCCTGATAACGCTGTAAGTCTTTATTAAAAAGAGTTTTGTTTAATTATGTATTTCGGTTTGATAGCTGAAAATTAATGTAGAAATAATAAAAAAGATTTTCCAAAAATCTAAAACATAAAATGAAATTGTAATAAATATAATATGCCGTATAGGTATGCAACGAATCGGTAGTGCTTTTTATGTTTTGATTTATAAGTTAAATTTAAGTATATACTTATTAATCTATATAATACACTTTACTGGTTTAAAATGAGTTAAATTTTACAATTATTGTGGATTAAAAGTAGTAATGCCCCGTGCATGACGTGAATGAATTTCGCGTGATTTGCATCAAATGTGAGTCAACTTATGGCTAATTAATAAAACTAAACTACTATAACCAGTAAATTGTATTTTTTATGTATCACACCGTCGTCATAATTATATTTGAGGAAGTTTTATATATTTAAGTATTATTATTATTACATTGAAAAGGTGACCATTAATTTCAGGTACCTGTCGCGTCATGGTTCGACGACATGACGGATTCAGAACTATTGGACTTAATACCGTTTTTCGAGAAATTAAGCAAGGTTGACAGTGTTTATACAGTGCTCCGCAATTCAAACCATCCGTACAATCCCACGCAGAACGCGTCCCCTTCCATGTAGCGGACAGTGCGTGCGAGCCCGCAGTGCGTGCGCACGTATACGCTCGATTGTATGAACTACGACAATACGAAGTGCGAAGAAACGTGTTTTCACAGTTACGAAAGCTTGAAGTGCGCATACGCGTACGAATCGCACGTACGCGCATACGATACGCGTATAACTCAAGGCTTGAAGGAAACACGTATACACCAGTCGCGTGTCTACCACCCGTGTCCCACCGATCGCGATTTAGCCAACATACAGACGCACAGGCCGTTTATAGCGTTCATACAAACGATAATAAACAAAGGAGCGAACTTCGTCTTAAGTGCCAATTTTGCCTTCTGGATAGTAAGGACTTTGTTTGTACCTATTTTACAGTTTAGATATTTCTTAGTACGTAAGTGGTCGGTGTGATTTCACGGCTTGCGACGAATCCCCGCTGTAGGAATATCGATTTTATCTTTTTATATCGTGCTTGGGATCAAATATGAGTAAGTTTCACCCTCATTGTATATAGGGTGTTCAAACATAGGGGTTATAATTTTGCAATAATTAGGCATAATTTTGTTTCTATACATTTTAATAATATCATATAACACGACTAGATGTTTGACTTTGATTTACGCCAGTACCACACCTTTATATAACTTATTTTATTAACTCGAACTTTATTTATTTAACATGACTGGTTCTGTTATCATTGCCACAGACGATCGAGTTATGTAAAACATTGTAATAATTCACGTTTATAACCTTTTAGCCTTTCACCTTTTACGTACAGCCGGATCAAAGAATCGTGTTTGGGACACCCTGTATACAATAATGTTACGAATTTTCGCGATTCGACTGTTATTGTAAGTCATACATGTAAATAACATTTAAAATCTTAATAGCTTACGGTACATTGTATTGTGTAAATAAGCAATAGATTAAAATTCAAGTATCAAGATTTTTGCACAGATAAGACCAAAATTACATTATCATAAGGAATTTTCTCGTAAGAATTATTACATATTTTACTGCGTAATAAAATGACTATGTTTTGCACTGAAATCAACAGATTTTGATCATTTCCCGCGCTAAATATTCCAACTTAACTAAAATGTATAGGTATTATGAAAATGTAATGTTGGTCATGATTTGCACAAAAGCATTAATGTGATCGCTATACTTTTTTTCATATTTTTCTTGACAATAATGTGAATATCGGTGTCATGTTTTAATGTTAGAATAAATCATGAAGTCATAGAACGGGTGAATTTACGTCTTAGATTCTTTAAATGAGAACGGATGCCGTCTCTCTCTATACTGTAACTTAGAGTGGGATGGCAGACCTTTTAAATTTTTATCTAAATAGATTTTATACTTTTCAAAGCTTAACATTTTATGTAAACAACGTAATATATTAACACAGTATTAACTAGATAAGAATTCGATGCCATGAAATAAAGAACCGTACGGTTTAAATATATTTTTACACAATATAAGAGAGAATAAACGTCGAGTTTTCGCTTTTTACAATATATAAAATCATTCTATAAAGCATTCTAATGGTTGTCGTGAAACGCACGAATCGAATTCCCAAGAGATTGGCGAAATTTCTAATAATCCCTAAGTAAGATTTGATAAGTGTGAATTTGATGGTGCTTGCAGTATTATTAGGCAACGTGTGTTTCGATTAACGCACATTTGGCACTAAATTTAAAACAGCAGTTTTCTTAAATGGCGCGTGAATTATTTATTATATTTTTATTTTGCTTAGCAAATCATGATTTATCGTTTGAGCAATATATTTCTGTAGATGTAAATAAGATTTTTTTATTTTATCGTTTTTAGAACGGTTTTGACGATTCATTTACTAATTTATGTAAATGTTTGTTATTTAGTGACTACGGTGTATGTATATACCCTTTATACTAGGTTCTATGTGTAGTTTGTAACCTCTTAACATATACAGTGACCTGTAATCCCTATTTTTATTTGTCTTAAAGCGTTTAGAACTTAAGGCATTTTTCAGATGCACTAATCCAATACGTGAACATTTATTGTAGATTCACACGAACATAAAAAAATAAGCACAAAAGTCGTATCTATGCGTATACGTTAAGATACGCGTATACGTGCACGCATTTTAAATTTGTCTCTAAGTATGTCAGTCTTCACCATATATATGTACATTTGTTATTTATATCATAAAGTGTGACAATATGATGTAAATAGCAAATTTAAATATATTTGCGGTCGATTAAAATAAACATACACCCTTCATTACTACTTAAATTTAGTCTACCCACCCGAAATTCGAATTAATATGTCACTAAAAGTTTAATTGATAATTGCTTAAAATGCAGAATTATTCGGTATTGCAATACGTTTCAATACGAGACTGTTTGTTTTGGCGATGTCACTGGCACATGGAAAGAGCGTATTTGATTTAGTCACCTAGCGTGACTTTTTTAAAAGCAACGCTTTTCAATATCTCTTGACACGACTGGCGTGTTTTGAAATCCCTAAAGGCCAGTACTCACATACGGTATTACTCGATCGAGCTAAACTGTCGAGTAAAACCCATGGCATGGGCTTTCGTCCACACATTGAGCATTCATCTATCGAGTGAGGCGCGCCGTTCAGTATTCACCGAACCGTTAGAGCCAAAGGATGTCTGTGCAACAAAGGAGACAGTGGCTGTATTTTGCAAGTCTCACAGTGCTTTATAAGAAAATGAAAAGAAATTTATCATAACATTCATTTCACTTATTTTTGTGGGAGTAATCTTTGGACTTGACATTCCATAAACACTCACACTGTCTATATGTGTTAATAGTCTTCTATAGCGCTTTTGGAATAAACTCGCAAATCCATTTCTCTTAAAAACACGTGTTTCGATCACGATAAACAGTACCAGACTGACGCTCGCCTCGAGCCACTCGCAGTCACGTATATACGTTCGAGTCAAGATTGACGGCTCGCTTCGAGTAGGTTCGAAGGAAATTACTTTCATTTAATTCCATCGAGCCGGCTCGGCTTCGAGCTGTGAGTTTTGCGATCCACACGTTGATTTTTACTCGACTTCGAGTAAAACTATCGAGTAATACCGTATGTGAGCACTGACCTTTAGGCGCTAAGCAAGCCGGGTGCCAGTGCGTATCTAGCCTTACAACTTTTATACAACTTAGCAACAAGCTACGAGCATTACTGAAATGTTGCTAACATGGCTTCGCGTTTTCTATGTCGCATCTCAGTGCTTTTTGAATTTTTTAACCGATGTCACTGCGTCTTATCGCGAATCGGCCGTCCTAATATACGATATGTGTACGAGTGTACTCTGATATGGCGGCGCATTTAAGTGCCTTTCTTCAAACAATGGGGGACTTCGTTTATCCCATTGTGATTATACCATTACGTGAATTATGCATTATGCAAAAACAAAAGTTTCAAATATATTATTCATTCAATACGTTTACTGCAAATTGCTAATTCATCAGCACGAGTTTTGAACATCTGCGCATAGAATTCAGCTCTGAGCAGATTCTTAAGGTGCTTAAAATGCGTCGTCAAAATCGGACTACCTTATATTATATTGTCCGCCTTCGAGCAATGTAAAGATTTCCTTTTGTGGATTACGTGTCGTCATCCATAAGCCACGGTAGAGCATTTAAGATTAAGCATAACACTAGTTTAAGGATGTTATAGTAATATATACGTTGGTTAATACACAGATCTTCACAACACTAAAACTTAAATATTTCTTTTGAAGCCGAAATCGTCCAAGTATGTTATTTAGTCGTAATTTCTATTGTTAATTTTATATACTGCATGCAATAAAATTTGAATGATATTTCGCTAATGTGAACGAGATTGGGAATTCGTTGTTATAATTTTTATAATGTATTTAATAAGGTATGAGTGCGAGAGATTAACGTATCAAAGTAATGTTCTTTGTTTATTCGATTGCACAATTATTGTGCCTTTTTATCAAATGATGCGCCATATATAAAGTTCTATATAGACTTTTTTGTATGGTACCGTTTTAATTGCTATTCTGAAGATTATAACGCTGGCCATAGACGGACAGCATATTGCAGCCGAGACCGACTGCTCTAGAGCGGTCGCCGGCGATCTGCAGTTTCCATAATAAATTCATATCCGCAATACACGGACCCCTCGAGCAGTTCCTGAGCGGTCGGAGCAGTCGCTCTGCGGACGAGTTTCGCCGTGCGTTCTACTGCTTAGAGCTGCCGGATCCACCATACACGGACTGCTACAAGCGGTTGCTGCCGACTGCGCGCCACTCCCTCCCCGCTCGCCGCTGAGTACCAATCCCTTCCTCACTTTGGAATCTGTCCATTGTATTTTATGGCTTAAAATATTAACTATTTCATCAAATGAAACCAAGGACATTCTAAAGTAGTTGAAAAACATTTTAGTGTCTTCTCTCAGCTGGGGATACAAAGTATGAAATATTCCATGCAGTTCTCTTGATTGTAGTATTGGACGCACTCGCTCAACAGCAGTCGGTTGCATGCAGTCGACTGCATGCGGTCCGTCTATGGCGACCTTCAGATGCCTTTCTAAGATATATGACATGTTCGTAGAAATTTCTATATAAGGTATCTTATAGAACAAAAATTTAAATTGGTTTCTATTAGTTTGCAAGGTAAAGTACAAATCAGTTAGTAAATGCGACTACAACAGCAATTTAGTTATGTATTATAAGGTTGTGCTTATGCTGTACCATATCATTTTCATTCACACTCAATCTGTTCATTCATTATTACATATAAAATGAAATTACTGATTTTTAAAGCAATATATTTTTTAAATTCTAGCTAAAAATGTACATGGGATGGTGTTGGATCAAAGTTCTTAGGCTTTAGATAAGAATACTTTGCGATAGGCGTGAGCCGTTAAACTCTTATTGAATTTGTCTGGTAATTATCACGTCTCAAAATTTTTTTGGCGTATTTTGTTTCCATAGTTCTTAAAGTTATGTTTTTGGAAGCCATATGTATAAATTCCTGTATGTAAATTAATAATTTTGATGTTATATTTTATTCATTTAGTTGCGGTGAATCGAATCTGTTTATAAATTGATTTACATAAATGAAATTATTTTTATAAATCATGATGGATGAAGAATGTAATGAATTTCCAGTGCAATTTAAGCTCGGGACTTTGTGAATTATATAAAATAGGTGTTGGCTTGTAGATATATTGTACAGCAAAGTACGAATGTACAGTCGCCTTCAATTGTATGTGTCTCCTTTTTATCATATAGTTTAGACTTTGTTAGCTATCAGTATGACACAGACCACCTGGCGGGTGCAATTTTTTTTGCTATGCAAATCGTACACAAATTTTATAGTTTCTATAGTCACTAATAAATCTAAAACTGTTAAAATTTTGGCGAATAGCTTAATACTGTTAAATCTGGTGTGGTGCTCAGCTCAGCTTTTATTAAATTAGCGAACAATATCATATTTATATTATAACCTTAATTCCCATCATAATGATTGGTAAAATTTGAGTTGAAAATATTTTTGAAAGCGACTGTACCTGAAAATGAGAGGATATATGTAATAGCCACGATGTATAGGGTATCTGGATAAGCTAGGTGACATTTACCTGACACGAAATTTATATTATGGTGTACATTTTTGATATGATGTTGTACAAAAGAGACATTTGGTATGTTATTTTATAGGATTGAAATAAATAGCCTTAATAAATGTTGTTTTTTTATCACCACTAAGTACCCACAAGCACTGTCTAAAACTAGTAGTCTGGCTAATGAAAGAAGATAATTGAATTATTTGAAAACTTTCGGATGGCAACACAGAATGTCATTGAATTTGTATTATATATTTTTTCTGAATAGTTAACAAGTATAATTATACGTGTTAGCTATTCGAAAAAAAAATAAAATAAAATAGCCTAAACTTTGTTTAATTTTATAGATTATTTCGTTTCTTTCGCAGGATTTGATTATTCCGAATAAAGTTGTGTTTTATAATAAATATATAATAATAGTTTTAGTTTTCCATGCAATGCTAGTCATTTTAAGTATCATAATAGTAAAAGACTAAATACAAATACTAGTATTTAATTTCATAGAAAATAGTTACTGTCAATGTAAAAAAAAAAAAATAAAATAAAGTAAGTTCAATCCACAAAATATAAAAACTTTTAGGGATACCATACATATTTTTTTTAATTTGCCGCGCTTTTTCGTTACCTTCTTTTATTAGCCAGACTCTAGTAAATTTTGTTTATCTATAAACACCAAAAAGATTTTTTAATTTTTCTTTTAATCTGTACGAACTACGTATACGCTAATCTTTAATTATGAATAGCAGATCCAAATGTTGTAATTTTCTAAATTTAAAGGGCCAGTTAATTTGAGGTCATGACCTCCACATTTGGGACTAGATCTATGGCAAAACCCTATCGCTTAGATATTTCGACATTTAGCGTTTCAAATACTGACAAACTAAAGTACGATTTAAAAGACGTTTGATTCCGAAACAAATACATAAAAAATTGTAATTTTTTTTTCAATTTAATTTTCAAACACCGTATATTATAAAATTACGATGACCGAAATTATTCAAATTTTCTTTGCGGCTTAAAAGTTTGTACTCATTCCTTCCTATAAAGTTGAAATGAATCAGGATAAAGAAAACAAACATACATTGCAAGAACTTTAATTTCCAACTCATTATGGCTAACGAATTTCAATGCACAATGACGATTCAATGGAATAAATATTAAATGATATGTTATTCTATACACAAAGTTTTTAACCCCCGCTGTGTCCCGGGGGCTAATAGAGATCTAATTCAAACTTATTACCCCAGGAATCGAATTCAAGACGCATAGAATGCGCAGCATTGCTTAATGAGGCAATTCATTGTAATGTTACATAGTATTCTAAACACGTAACTTGGCATATGTTTGGGGGACACAGTATATTATTATTTTTTAATACTACACTAGACAATATGACTTTAATGCAAATATTTTTAACAATAACAACTTGTACTTTTAACTTTGGAATAGTTAAAGCTAATAGTCATATAAAAATAAAACCATAGTAAATCAAACGTAACAAAATAAAGTAGTCGAACATTTTTTTTGATGGCAAGAAAAATTATTCAATTGAAATATTTTAAAACAGATAAGCATAAATAATTTAACATTACATATATCAAATTATTTGGTTAATTGGAATATTAGTAAAATCTTAACCATTAAATTATTATCTAGACAATAGTTCGTATTTTTTTATTTAATACTGAAAAGTGGAATCAAGATAAACAAATATATACGCTAAATAAAAACTATAATAACATTTTAATTTTTTCTTGTTAAAAACTCAGTAAAAGCTTCGAATAACAATACTATATACTTTTAAATTTGACTTAAAAAAGGGACAGTTGCATGTAGAATTTCTGTAATATATAATAGTTAAAGAAGAAGAATCCAACGTCATTTGATGCTGCGTCGGGACTCTGAAACTTCCAATAGTGATTGATCCCAGCTTCAATATTGGTTTTTAATAATCAATTTTGATGAAGGTCGTCCAAAAACCGTAGCACTTATGACGCAACTTTGTGGTCACGTGGTACTAATACTCAATGAAGTCAGAATAGCTATCATAATTGGAAGATACTACATTAGAGAGTTACAAGGCGTTTAAAAAAGGATGGATTTAGACCCGTTTTAAAACATAAATTTGTATAGTACTGTTATTCGTTTACGTTATAGAACGTGTAAAACCTAAAATAGATTTTAAGACTAACCAATTGTTCTACAGCGGTACCAATTGTCTAATTTGTTCAAATCTTTGGTTTCGTCTATTTATTATTCGATTTTACAACAGCTTCTAAAGTGTTGTTATTTATTATCGTCGTAGGTTAGGGAGCGTTCAAGTATTACGAAACTAATTTTGGGGGGTCCTTTTGTAAAACGTTACGATGCGGGGCGGGGATTAAATTACGCGTTATTGTAAATATTATTTTCGACTTTCCAGTACTTTTCACCACATAATAGTAACTTTTAGGTATAAAGAGTCACTAGGTGGTCACGAAACGTTTTACTATACTTGGGTACAGAAAAATGTTACGGCGCGTTCCACGGGGGGTCAATAATTATCTCCAAAAATTGCGTGAATACTTGAACGCTCCCTTAGTCACTATAAGTTGAACCAACTTAAAATATTATGGAAGCTTGATTATTACAAAATTTCAGCCAAGTCACAATAAGAAATCGTGCTGCGAAACCACGATATCAAAGTATCTCCCAACTGAACATGGCAGTAGAACACGCAAAAAGGTGGTTATGGAGAGCCTGTATAAACAAAAAATATTCTGCAAGTTCCGAAGTGAAAGGAGGTCGCAAAAGAATCGGTAAAAGTAGAGAAAAACGGTGGTCACGTGTAATATATATATGTATGTAATAAATGTATATAGTAAATGTAATATAATAGCCCTATAAGTTTTTGTGTACAATGGTTTTAGTATAATCTGAGCTGTTTTATTAAAAAATCTCTATTCATTCATCAAATTTCATCTTTACTTTTTAAAATTTCTACAACGAATTCATATTTATTATATAATCATCACATTCAAACATTATCCTAAAAATTTTCATTGTCAAAGTTATAAAACGTTTCTAAAACCGCCAATAATTATCAATTAAATTGTAACTCCATATATAGTGAAGCGATTATAGTCCAACGATAACATGTGTCTATGAAACCTTTTTTTTTAAATGGCAACATAATTTTCCACCAATTAATCTTGAATACTGGATGAAATCCGAACTGTCAAATCAATTTGTTTTTGAGTAAATTATTTTCTTATGGCAACTAATTTTTAAAAACTTTCATGTAATTTGAATATTTAAAAAAATAACAATTCTAGAAAACACATCCAACTAGCGTATAGACTAAACATACAAGCATTTTTAAGAATTCATAGACATTTTCTCTTGAAGAATTTGGAAGTAGCATGCCTGAAAAAAATATTAAACACATTAATTATTGGATTGACTCAACAATTCCTTCGGAATGAACTGATCTGATAACATCTAACAAGTGATAAACGGAGTTAAGATGCATGATGATGCTACTTATAATATAAATAAGCGGAATATGGAAGATCTTCCTTTCTTTAACATACAATTTGAATAACAAACAATTATCATACAATTCTAGGGAGTTTAATCCATTAGTGAAGTGTCACTAATTAAAGCGTAGTTATATAATTATATTTTTATTTTTTTTATCTATTTTATTACCTTTAACGTAGTAAACATGAGTCCCAATTCACCATGTTGCATAGCTGGTTCAAGAAAATCTTCAACAAAGTGAATCTCTGAACCCAATTGAAGGATGCGCGCGCGCACCACCACAAAGTGGAATACTGGGAATAGATCGTCCATACTCCAAAGATATTGGGCTCCTGAAATTAAATGTTACAACTATTTATGAAAGTAGGTGATCAGCGTTTGTGTGTTTGGGATAAGTGTATCAATCAATGCCAACTGAGTATCGAAAAAGGTACATTCAACTTATAATAATAACAGATTTGCCACATTATTTACAAAAATGGACAAGTAATACATGTCGGAGAACATCAGATGCCATTGTCATTATATGTAACAGAGCTCATAAATTAATAACATCAAAGTCAATTAGACAGGCAATATTAAAATAATCATTTGACCCTCTTTCTTAGAACTTTGTAAGTATGCTAAAATAGGCCTACATAAGTCCATTATTTGTTTGCAAGAAACATTTTCTTTATATTTTCAGATACCCTCTAATAGACCTGAAGACAGACATGTGTCTATTGCTCTCCAAGGAAGAAATAGTCATTAGTACATAGCTCTTCAAAATCTGATAATTTTCCATAATATGATAAAAATGAAAAATAATAAATTAGTTACATTCGAAATCGTACCATAATATATTTTGCAGCTAAACTCAATTTGAATCATACCTAACTCCTGTTGTACAGCAACCGTCATCTTTTGAAAGGTGGATCTGATGACGAGCAGCTTCTCAATAGGAGAGAACGTGGTCTTGAGCTGCTGAAGAGTCTCTACAGCATCTTGGAACAGCTGCTCCTTCATCGGCGAGTAGGTGGGAGAATGGTGGGTGCTTTTTGCCCAGAATTTTCTGGAAATTATAAATTTTTCTGTTAATTGAACAACATAAATAATATTGGTATGATTGGAACAATAAAACAGAAATAATATTGGTCAGTGTTGACAGAGCAGACATCACAAATAATCCATAAAAAGTATTACTATAAGAATACATAATTAAAAAACAAATTAGAAAAAGACTTTTGACAAATGGAACTACATATAAAACATAGATTAGAAAACTTACTGATCAATCCCCAAAAAGGCCATAAGAGTGGTATCGGGTTGCTTATTCCACTTCATCAGCCTTCGCCAGTACAAATCGTCTTCCCGTTTATTGTGAAGCGCATACAATACAAACAGTGCCGGGTGCACTCGCGGTAAGAGAGTGGGTTGGAGTAGGGAGGCCGCTGATACCACTTCACTATGAAAAAAAAACCAGAATAAAACCTTTGTTAACTAATAGCTAACAGGGTTATAAAAAAGTGTCTGAAAGGTTGATCACCTTTCGTGCGGTCACAAACGCAGCTTTTTGAGTCTAAGGTATGTCGGTTTCCTAATGATGCTTTCTTAAGCCGTATAAGCGAGCGTTAAATGCGCCCATATAATTAAAAATAATTGGTGCACAGCCGTGATTCAAACCAACAAAACCACAGGCGCATGCTCAAGCTACTAAGCTACCACTGCTGTAGGAGTAACTATAGATAAGTTATAAAAAGTTTATGAATACATTTAAGAATGCGACCAACAGAATATTATTGATTAGATTATAAGTTAACATCATGTTCATCCATAATAAAATTATGAGCAATGTATAATTATTATCACTAGTAATAAATTAAAAGGTTCTATCAGATTTTACAGAAAAATTGCAAAATTTTTGTCATTGTTTAAAACAAAAACGGGGTTCCGTTCTATTCTGTCAAAGTCAAAGTTATTTATTCATTTAGGTTACACAATGTACACTTATGAACGTGAATAAAGAAATACCTATTAAATGCTAAATGCTTCTAATTTTACATTTATGTGTTTTCATGAATTTCAATGTTGTAAATCTCCTTTCTCGTCTCAGAGACTCCATTTGAGCAACAATGATTTGACAGCTCTTGAAACTATATATAAGTTCAAGAAAACAGGCCTAAGACCGGAAATCTTACCCCTCGATAGGATTTCCATCTTCCTCCCGCTCTTCGTACGGTAAAACAACATCAGTGTCCTCTCCGGGCAACGCCGGGAACAAAAGCTTAACAACTTGGTACAATCTCGTGGTAATACACTTTAGTTCTTTGATCGCATGGCTCAGAAGTAGGGGATGTACCCTGACACCACCGTAAGTCGTGTTAAAAGCATTTGTGACGTTTAATACTAGCTGACCGAGAGGATGGTGGGTTGTTTCGCAGGCCTGGAATAATATAATAGAATGTCGGAAAAAAAAATTATAAGCTATTATTATCGGTACTTAAACGGGCCTTGCCGTTTGAAAATATGATCACTTTATTTAAAATTGTAATAAATACAGATTATATGCAGATTCTTATAATTTTCTATTGAATATTAATTTCGTATTTAATACTAATTATATAAGAACTACTTTCTTATATAATTAGTTTTTTTTTTTTTTTGATTGGACAATTCACACCAATTGACCTAGTCCCATGCTAAGGTGGTGAAGCTTGTGTTATGGGTACTAGGTAACGGATATACATTATACACACATATTATAGATAAATAGACATATAAATACATATTTAAACACCCAAGACCTAAGCACAACACCAAATGCTCATCACATAGATGTTTGTCTCAGCCGGGGATCGAACCCGGGACCCATGGATTCGCAGTCAGGGGTACTAACCACTAGACCAATGAGCCGTCTAAATCTTTTTAATTATTATTGTGTCAAAGTAAAATCTTGATTGCATTCCTTATGTTCATAATGGTAGGGGAGCCCAAGAGGGGATTTCGGGATTTACTAAAGCGCGGCAGATTAATATACAGGGGGATAGCTTGTACTCGGTTAAGTACCTCCACAAAACATGAGGTCCATATATAAAGCCGCCTGTGAAGGAGACAGGATCAGATTAGTAAAAAAAAATTGACCATCAGAAATTCCCGAGCGCATCAGATTAAGGTAGGGTGAGTTAATTACATCCTAAAAAGTGTATATTCCACTAATCTGACAATTTGAGAGTGACGGAAAAAAGGGAGGGCAACAAAGTTGTAAAAAAAACGTCATCTCGACATTCTCGAGCGTAGCTAATTTTTTTTTTATTTTGAAGGAAATAATTCAAGAATAATGAAAAATATATAATCTGACGATTTCCGCAAGCCGAAATAACAAAAATTCGTCGATAAAGTTAAATGCGTGCAGCTGCGTGATGCCTACATTTCCTTAAACCGATCGGAAATCTACTAAACGGCGTTCTAAATATTTCCCTCAAAATTACATTTCCTGTGAATTTGAACCGATTCGGACCGATAGATTTTGAGAAATTTTGAAAAATCTTAAAAAAATAAGAAATATTTTTTTTTAAAGTGGTTTCTTTATCGATCAACTTCAAAAACTAATCCACCTTTGAGCTTGAAAACACCCGTTGATCGCCACTAAGCTGGTCAAAAGCGGTTGATTCGTTCGAGAGATATCGTGAACGAAAGAAACCCGAAAAAGTGTTTATTAGGGATCCGAAATTTGTGGTTCGATCAATTAAAATTGCAAAATTACTTATGAGGATGATAAAACTGCGTCGAATGCCGCCAACCGCGTGAAAATTGCTTGATCCATTCAAAAGTTATTGCGGTTTGAAAATTCCAAAAATAGTGTTCTATGAAACTTCTATCAGACTTTCGACCTGGGAGAGCTCAAATGCATAGAAATGTTATTTCTTTGAACTCAGCGAGCTCAAAATATCAATTTTAAGCGCCCAGGAATGGAATTAGCGGGAAGTTGCAGGGATGGCCCTTTAGGTGAACCGTTTTTCTAAATTTTTTTTGTCAGATCAGGCGAATCCCTCTAGATAATCGTCAGATTATGAGACAGTACGTTTAGAACATAAAGATGAACCACATATATCTTAATCTGACGCGCTTGAGTATTTCAAAATTGTGATTTTTTTTTGCAAATTATGAAAATGGCTGTGGGTTTGCGTCCCATCGAAATCGTCAGATTAGTGAATGAGAGCTTTTTTTTGGTGCACTTAACACTCCCTTAGAAAATCTGACGCGCTCGATATTTTTTTTTTTTTTTCATTTTCAACCCTTAAATACAACCACCCGCATCATGCAAACGATCAGATTAACATACGTACATTATTAAAAATACGTAGGGCATAGATGTTATCAATATCTGACGCGCTCGAGGATGTCCATGCAACAGTTTTTTTTTACATATTTAACTATCTATAGCCGCTTCCCCCACCGATGAAAAGGAATTTATCATATAACATTTTTTTCTTCTTATTATCTAAGCTTTGCATCCCAATAGGTCTCTACGACGCTCGAGTAAATCCCCATTTAGCATCGTGGGCTCCCCTACCATAATTTACAGGAGACATTTTATAATTTTGTTACAATAAGGACCTTGGTTAGGCACAGCAATGATGTGAGAGGGCATGCTTTATTATACTTAATTCTATTCTCATATTATTTATTTAAGAGCTAGAGTAATGTGCTAACTGTATGGATTTTGAATTTATAATACAATTAAGACAGTCTCGGGCATGACAGATAAGGTATATTTTAAGGCGATTTTTAACTATGGTCTTATGTCTAGGGTTTGATTATTACCTAAATATAATAATCAATTAGAAAAGTAAAAATAAAGACTTACATTTTGTAAATACAGCTTTAACTCCGTATAGTCATAAAAGGTGAGGGTTTTTTGGCCAAAATGCGGTATAAGTTCTAAACAATCGACTGATTTTTCTAAATCCGACCCGTTTTTCTTCGGAGTCTGGATATGTTTCTGTGAACACGATATAGCCACGGCGACATTTTGCCATATCTTCACGTTGTCGAAAGTGGGGCACGGGCCATTGGTAAAGTGATTGCCGGTTGGTGTTAGGATCGTTTCGGAAACGCCCAAACAGTGGAAACACTGTCGGAATATCGCGTTCCATTTTTGATTTGGCGCAACGCTAAGTTTTCCGAAAGAGCTGGAATTGGAAACATAAATTTAATGCTAGGGCACAGACTCATTCAGATAATACGAACTAGTAATGATTATTATTTTTAAATTGTGCTCGATAAAACACTATGATTAATGCAATGATAAGACAGTAAGTGACTCATGTTATGAGAAAGCGTTTTCTACTTAATTCTTTATCTACTACATAATGTATTATGTATAAAGACAAGACGTTCACAGTTTAGTTTCACCTCTGAAAATTATTTCATTGGTGAAATTAGTAATAAATAATTAGGGCTATAAAAATATTTTTTTTTTAATTATACCACCAAATATTTGCCTATGACAAGATTTTACATTTTTTAAGCGTGTTACCGACTTTTAAAGACATGCTTTTTTGACTAACAGTTTTTATTCAGTAGAAATATCTGGGTCTAAGAATGAATACATATTTAAAGTGGAACTTTCATATATCACACATAATTACTAAACTAAATTCACTTTTAGGCAGAATTTGGTTAATATCAAAATGCATCCCGCAATCTGTACGTCATTTAATTTATAATTGTTTAATCAAGCCATATTTCATAAATCTAATTTAAATATGGGGTACAGCATGCAAAAACAAAATTTCTAACACACAAACGCAAAAAATAAATTTATAAAAGCACTATTTAGATTCAATTCTTTAACACAGACTAATAAAATCTACCAAGAAACGAAAATTATGACGATTAAACAAATATGTTTATAGCACCTGTATCTTAATTTAAAAAAAAATTAAATAACTCTATCCATAGCAGCTTATCATTTAAAAAAATCAAACACACCGTCAATACTCGTCGAGCGAGTTTGCTTATCTTGCCGAAGCAGCGTACAAATTATTTGAAGAAGTCTATTAAATATTTGATTAAGTATAAGGGTGTGCAATTATTTAATCAATTACCGTCTAAAATTCGTTATATTAGCGCGTTTAACCAATTCTAGGGCATTAAAGATCATCAGAATGAACATAGTAGACTATAATTGGGACGGCTGATGGCGACGTCTATCTCGTTCGTATACACGTCACCATATATTAAGTTTCTCATGTAAATAAAATACATTATTCTTTGTAATGAGAAATAAAGTTTTTTAAACATTATAACGATATAACTATTTTTGTGTATCGAATACATACTTCGGCTTTGAGTTTGGAGGCATGGCCGGGTTAGAAACATTAAGATGCATCACTCCATTAGATATTTTGACACCTTCAGTCCAGGCACCATTAAGGGATCCTTCTATTTTATCACCGCTAGAGAATGTTAAGGTTCCTTTTCCAGAAAAAACACCGGCTGCCCTGAATTCCCCCTCATAATTTGTTCCATCTTCGAAAACCATTACTCCATGGCCCTGAAACGCCAAATTTAAATTCATAACAGACAATAAAAAAACCCGCAAAATCTTAAGGATCAATTTAACATTACACAATACACATGCTGTTTTTTGAATATGCGTGGAATTTAAATATCACTTTTTAAACGCTAATTTCGCGAGTACGTTTCAAAAAGTTAGTTGAAAACTTTTCATTTAATTGTGTAGCTGTCGTAACCTAAGTGGAGGAAAAAGCGAGGAAATGAGGTCCACGGGAAAAAGTCGTGAATGTATAAATAATAAATTTTCAGTTAGGTAACCCAAAGTTTATAACTAAAAAATTGCAATGTAACTATAGAAGTGTGCCGACGTTTCGCGTGCAAATAGTATGTTTTGAATGTCCATCATGGGTTTGTCAACGCGTAAAAAATCCTGATAAAAAAAGACGTGTGTGAACTTATGTACACGCGTTAGAAGTTATACTTCTTTGGGGTAATTAGATAAAAAAGTTTTCAAACATACGAATGTAGAAAAAACGACACTAACAATAGAAAAAAAGGTATTTAATACATTGAAAGTTTTATTCTAACGCATTATCTAGTTAAATAAAGTTTATTTAAATATCACAAAAAAACTAAAATGTTGACTATAGCTAACTTTAGGGCGTCAGTTTTTTGTGACGATGTGCGGGCGCATTGTAAAAATTTACCCTCATCATTATTCCCTAACGCGCCAAAAGAAGAATAACTTCAATAAACATCGAGTAGTTTTTTTTTTAATACGTCATACTCGCGCATAAAAATAACATTCTAAACCTGTGAATTTTGTAAACTATACAAAAAAAATTTAATATATAAAACAAAATTCATTTTATGAAACTCGTTTGTATTTTCATATCTCTTTGTAAAAATTTACGAAAACCTTGTGCAAATGTATCTTATCGTTTATAAAATACATTTTCAATTCATATTTATAAAAGACGTTGTTAATTAATTATATAAATCGTTCTAACCGTGAGAATGTCTTGTGTAAATAGTCCTTCGTAGTAAATACCGTCGAGGGTTACGATAAGGCCGCAGCCGTGCTTCTTATTATCACTCCAATTACCCAAATATTTTTCGCCTTTCCCAATATCATCCATCACTCCATACCCATGTTTTGCTCCCCCAACCCATTCGCCTGTATATATTGTTGCGGAAGACGATGTGAAATCTCCCTGTTTTTTGACACCGTGACCATGAGGATGACCGTCTTTAAAGTACCCTTCATAAATATCGCCACATGCGTACTTCATAATACCGTAGCCATTTTGAACGTTATCTTTCCATCTTCCTTCATAAATACCTGTAACATTTTAATATATCACTAATTGGTGGATCTTATTCGTTTGTTCCCTAAAACACAAGGAGTAAATAGAATAAACGATATAATATTTTATTACTTCCACTTAGGACATAATAGCCCTATGGGCAAATGAGTTCCTAGACAATCTAAACCTGAATTGAAGGGTGTCGTTTGTAGCTTCTTTAATCAGCAATTATTATTATTAACTATAGAATGTTAAATGTTAATAATATTAAAACTAGAGAATTCAAGAACAGAAATTACCTACTCCTGGTATATCCATTTTTCCATGACCACATAATGTATTTATTTGAAATTGGCCACAGTAGATTTTCCCATCTGGCCACTCGACTCTTCCATGACCATGCAATTTGCCATCCAGCCATCGGCCGACGTACTTCGCGTCTTTGTAAAATAAACTCTTGCTAGAAAACACGTAACTGCCACTTCTAATTGTCGGTGGCTTGAATGAGGTGTCTTTCTTCAACACTGATTTTATGGCTGCATTCAAAACATGTATCCACTCAGTTTTCTCATGTTCCGAATTAGTCGAAACTGAAATTATTTCCTCAGGGGTAGTGATTTGTATCCCATTTTGAATATCTACATTCGGTGACGCGTCAATCCATAATGTTTCTAAGGGATGAAGTATTGGTGTGCTTCCATTCACATGAACAAATAAATCATTAAATAGAATGAACCAATGGGAGGAAAATCGACCAGGGTTCACAAGATTAAGCTGTTTTGATTTTGATTCCCGTATCAATCTTCGTTCCGGTGTTCTATACTGTTCCAAACTTTTCCCTATTGTTTCCCAAAATAATTTAGTTATATCGGCTTCTTTTCTCCTTTTTTCCTGGTCTTCTATTAAGGAATCTAATGTGGTAATCACCTTTGTTAATTTCTCTTCAATGTTTGTTTTAGTTTCACATTTCTTTTTTTTAGTTATACAGCGCAATAAAGATTGAGCAATGCACTTATAAGAGCTTAACCGGACCAAGGGCTGGATAAATGCCAGGCTTACTACAGCTTCTGACGTTTTTTTATTATTTTTCTGTTTATTTGTAGGTAACTGATCACTAAACATATTGTAAACATTTGTAGGTACATCAACAATATTATTTATTTGAGCGAAACCGCCTATAACAATTAAATTGCTTACTGCTATGTAATACTTTTTGTACAAATAAATATACTCTTCTAAATTTTTTATTAAAGAGATATCACATTCATTTATATGTTTTTCAGCATACTGCCAAGTTGATAGAACATTTAATGCTGTTAGATTTAATATGTCACTAAAAATATCACAAACAGTTTCATATATATTGGAATGTGCAGTTATTGCTTTACTTTTTCTAAGGAATGGCTTGATAAGTAAGTGATATATTAGGAGCATTTCTTCCAAATAACGTTGAGCAATTGACAGGTTTTGGAATTCAGGGCATATTGTTAACTTTTCTATAGAGCAGTAACTTATTGTTCCACTAGATAACACTCTCCAATGATAGCACAAGTTTTGCGATTCCCCAAAAACTTGGGGTTCCTTTATCTTAACAGTTTTTTCAGTTTCCTGATCATTAGAATTTTCCATCAAGTTTTCATTTAAGTTCACAATAACATCTGTATAGCCATCAGTATGTTTTCCCATATAATAAATGTTTTCATTGTGAGTGTAAGCTAGAGTATGATTATCAGTTGCTATCATATCTCTGATGCGATCACTGTCTGAATTTTCAGTAAATTGTGTGGGACTACTCTTATAATCTCTTGACTCTAAACAGACTTGCTTAAAATGATTATAGCCCCACATAAATATTCTTCCATCTAATGTTAATGCTGCACAGTGCCAATTACCACAAGAAACTTTTTGTAGACCAAAACCAGATAGACTCATTACAGCCATTGGCTTCACTCTTTTAACTGTGTCTCCTATACCTAACTGTCCATGAGTTATGTCACCCCATGTCCAAAGTTCTGTTGCTAAAATATTTTTTCCAAGTTTAGACATATTTTTAAGAGCTTCATCTTTTTTTGCCACTTCAAATTCCTTTTCACTATTAATTGTGCTAGTTGAAAATTGCAAATCCTCAGATTTTGTTGCAGAATTACAACTGTATAACAGTGAACTTATCATGTCATCATTGCAATTAGGATGTTGAATATCCACTGCTTCATTATTGTCACTGCTACCACTGACATGCCTTGATAATGTTGCAACTTTATCACCGACAGTTTTAACTCCTTCGTAAACAAAATTAGTAATATTTGTAACATTCTCTTTTATAATTCTTGTTGGCTTCTCTGTATATTCTACTAAGTAGTCTTCACCAGCAGAAACCCACGATAGCTGCCTACTAAGAAATTGTCTTGCTGCATCTGTGTTGATAAAAATATTGTTTAGTTTCTCTGTGCTTGTATCCAAAGATTCATTACCATCTGTATTGGTAGCCTCATTTCCATTGTGTTTTGATATACTATCTAATTCTAAGTTGTTACTAACATGGATAGGGAAATCTTTTTTGATAATTTTTGATTCCTCAGAGGAAGGACTAGAATCTTCTGTAAAACTTTGAGCATCTACGTGTACATCAGTTTGAGGAGCAGTTGTACTACTTGAATCTTCGCTAGATTTACTTATATGAACTCCCAATGGACATGTTTCAGAGAGAGACGGCACAGAGGCAGGAGATGCTAGGCCAATAATAGTTTGACATTGAGAGCAATTTGAGGCAAATACCTCTTCATCATCATTATCACTGTCTGTATCACAATTACCTGATTGCCTCACATCTTTACGTGCTATAACAGCTGCAAAGTTATCTCCTATTGATGCACTATAAACTGTTCTACCCTCAAAAAATGGAACTTTCTTAATACTAGATGATTCTAAGCCAATTTGTGGCATGTCCCCTGAACCCCAGAGATGGCCATCACTACTTATAAAGAGTTGGCCGAAGCCACTTGACACAACATTTCTAAACTTTACTTTAGAACTACTACTTTTAAAACCATGTGGACAGCACTTTGATTCTTCTTTGACAACTACTTCTTCTTTATTCTTAAAATGTGTGTTTGTTTTATAAAGTCTTCCATGTTCATTAATAATATACAGGATATCATTGTGATAGGATATGTCAATTGCAGTTATACCATTCTCTCTTTTAAAATTTAAAATATCGTCTTCAATATTACAATAATAGAGGCGATGGTCATTGCCTAGAGCAATAAAGTCTGCGCCAAGGGAACAAATTTTCACAATTTTTTCGGGGACATCCAGAGACGAGGAAACCTTCAATTCTTCGATGCCTCTCCAAAATTTGTGGTGGCTCATGTTATTACAAACTTTATACAGATTTCCGTGAAGTCTTCATGTTAAAAAATGATTATATACAGACAGAATTATCACTCAAATTTCGCTTTATTTATTGTAGAGCGGTCATAAGTAAGTAATAATACACATTACAAAGAATTTAACCTTTCAAGTAAATAATAATTAGTGCCTATTGTTCAATTAATCACAAAAATCCTTAGGATAGTAAGACTGACAATACTAAATAGTAAATACTGTCTGTAGTAGGTACTAACTACTATAAGTGTTCCTACTCGATACTTCCTTTGTAAATTTTGAATTATTTCTTTGACATAATATCCAAACTCCAAAGGAAAAGAGTGTTGTTCACTTGTTCTTAAGTTTGACGTTTGGTTTGTGTCTATGGTCAATGGCACATAAAATTGTCGTCTGACATTGACATATCAAAAACGTCATAACCATAAACCAACAAATAATTTGCCTTATGAGTTATGTGTCAGTTAGGTTAGGACTTAGGTCCTTTTCAGATAAATCTTTCAAAAAATGGCGAATCGTGGAGCTACGTCTAGACGTGTTCCTGAAACTGAAGCTGCAATAAGTTATGTACAATGTGATGGCTTGGTAAGTGATAATATAACTGTATCATTAAATAATAAAAATTATAAATTCATTTGCGGCCTATGTAGGAATCATCGATTCCGTCTGACGCGTCATGTTTTATGTATTTATCTTCAAATTAAATGGGTTTTGGCCCAAACAGCAGAATTATTTCACACCTTAATTAACTATTATCGACTGTTTTCACTGTAATACGATTCTTAATCGAATTCATTAAAATTAATTATGTAGGTTATGTTGCGTTCGAAAGTTTATTTACATGGGTCAGCATAACGTTTCTTATGACTCATTTGTTGTTTTGGGACTATCACTTCATTAATTTCATCTGTAGATGACGTTACTTGTATCAATACCTCTATCTTGTACTAAGTACCAGAATCAAAAGGCCTGATTTTATGAGATCAATGGCATTAGTAGTATCATAACAGTGATGTTTTCTAAAACTCTACTGAATTAGGTTTAATATGATTAAAATACCCATGGATCTGATACAGACTAGACCAACAGTTCTGCATGTGTTTTACTGATCCTTTCTTTAGACCTGACCTGACGCCTATTTTGTTTTTTTCCTTCTATAAACTCATAAATAAGAGTTATTACCTATATATTGTATATTTTCAGGCAGTAATGAAAATAGTGAAGCACTGCCATGAAGAATCATGTAGTAACATGGATGTGGCCCAAGGGGCCTTGTTGGGACTTGTGGTTGAAAACCGTCTGGAGATCACCAATTGTTTCCCATTTCCTAAACATGATGATACCATGGATGAAGAGGAATATCAGCTTGATATGATGAGGAGATTGAGACGAGTGAATGTTGATCATTTTCATGTTGGATGGTGAGTTATATTTGTAGCTGAAACAGAAAATTTTGTCTGTATGGTTATTGTAGCAGTTTTTACATATATGTAATAGAAACCTATGTTTATGCTTCTTTCTTATCTTAATTACTATAACATTTTAGCAGTGTAACTTACTACCTTTTATTAGTTAGAATAAGTATTATTAAATTTAAAGTTCACACATAAGAGTCCTAAGTATAAACTATAATATAGTTCTCTTTTAAATATTATATTCATTAATTCAAATGAAATTTTCAAATAACTGAGCTAGTTACAAAAAAAAATCTTAATATTTACAGGTACCAAAGTGCTGATGTTGGTAACTTTTTGAGTCAGTCTTTGCTAGAGTCTCAGTATCACTACCAGACTTCTATTGAGGAAAGTGTGGTTGTCATATATGACACCAAAAAGTCTGCCCGAGGATTCATAACACTAAAGGCCTATCGCCTTACTCCTCAGGTAAGAAATGTTAATCTTTGTGTGATTTGTAATCTATTACTTATAGATGTTATTGTCCTAGTTAAACACAGCGTTATAAACATGCATCTATTTAATGCATACATCAACTTTTTTAAAACAACCATATTAGAAAGTTATTTATTTTTAGGCCATTGCTATGTACAAAGAGGGTGACTACACACCAGAGGCCCTTCGCAACTTGAAAATTGGTTACGAGAACTTGTTTATTGAAGTGCCTATTGTGATTCGTAACTCACCATTAACTAACATTATGATGTCGGAGTTATCAGAGATGATTCCAGAAGAAGAAGGCTCAAGATTCTTGGACTTAGGAACAGCTTCTGTACTCGAAGGTATGTTGTATAAATTAAGCTATGTTTGTAAGAATACAGCAGTTGTATTTTCAGAGTCATAATCTTCTTGTGTGCTTAGGGTTAGCAATTAATACTGGCACACTCTAGGCAGTAGTGATAAAAGGGGATTAAATTAATTTTGATTGTAAAGATATTTTGTATTTTTGTCACTTGACTGGGTTTTTACAGACTACAGTTACTATAAAATTATTAATTGTTAATTTGTTGTTCAAAACATCTATTATGTTAAGTAAAGGCAGTTTCTTTAATAGTTTGTAGGGAGGCTGATATTATTTTGGACTGATTTGTATAGTGCAGTGTTTCCCAAAATGGCCAGGCATTTAATATTTTTTTTATAGAGATAGATTTACGTAACCTAACTTACTTACTAAATGTAAACTGCTTTTTACGCCAATTATCAAATCTTTACATACATGTAATTAAGTACTTAATTATTAGATTGGTAGAAATAAAATCATTTTAACCCAGGCTAACTGGTAACTGTTAAAGAAAACAATAAAATAACTAAAATTTGTTGAAGAACACTTATGATGCACTAGTTATTCCACTAAAGAACTCGGATGTCAGAGCTCTCCTTGCCGACACGACACTTAAGGCGAACAGGTCAATATCAACAGTTAAACTTACCCGCCACCCTAACCATAAGGGTTTTCAATTTTTGTAATTTGTGTTGACCTTAGGTGTATATAGGTTCATATTTTTTAGCATCCTATTATACACATGACAGACACAAATTTACGTGTAGCTAAATATGATTTACACAATATTACAGAGAACACAAAAATTCCTGACTTAACACTACTGAAACTAAGTTTGTGCTATATCTATATGGAATTAAAATAATTACTTTAAGCTATACATGTTGACGCCTCAGTTCATCTTAGTAAATGAGAATTAAAGGTCGGATATAGGATAAAGGACCCGGATTTAAGTAACAATTTTTTTTTTTAATAATTGGATAAATAAGTAAGTCAGATAAAATAAATAAAACATTCCAGGGCAACTACGCAGCTTGATGGAACGCGTCGATGAGCTCAATCAAGAGGCCATTAAGTTCAACCGTTACCAACATTTAGTTGTCCGTCAACAGCAAGACAAACACCGTTGGCTTCTAAAGAGGGCTCAAGAAAACGCTGCAAGGGCTGCTAAAGACGAAGCACCGCTACCAGAAGAAGATGTTAATAAACTCTTCAAACCGCTTCCTGTCCCACCAAGGCTCAACCCTATGATTGTTGCTGGTCAAATCAATACATACAGCCAGCATATAAGCCAATTCTGTTCACAAAGCCTGGCTAAGGTCTACTTGACCCAGGCGTTACAGAACGCAAAGGAGTCTAAACAAAACAGCACATAATTTTGTATTGATTAAATATGTGATTTAAATGTTCTTTTATTAAACAATATGTGAAAAAACAATTATTTTTATAACAAATAATACAAGTATATTTTAATTATGACCAAATGTGTCGAACTAACGCGGGTGAAAACACAGTCACCCGCGTTAGTTCGATCATTGTCTGCTTTCGGTAATTAATAAACAGATTTCGGGACAGGGACACTTAGCTCCATATTCTAGTCTGTATCTGACGTCACCAACTGAACATGGCGGTGTCAAATATGTCAAACAAAAAATGGTTTGAAAGCTCTTGAAACTAAATGTTTGACGTTCTGGAATACAAAACATTTCATAACAAACCAAAGAACTACCAAAATTCTCCAATTATTACCAAGAACAAGACTTGGCTGTATGGACCAAAGTCCTTTGCCTTTCCCATTAGGGATAAATTAATATCATCAACAAAGAACCGTCTCGAAGGAGTGCTACCGCAAACACTGACACGAAATTTTTATGTATGTACATTTATATTGCACATAAAATAGAAAATACAAATAAGGTTGGTACGCCAGGGTCCGAATCTTTTCCCACACATGCAAATCCTATAGATAACAAATTTAACTTCGTAATAGAATATAAAAAAAGGTCGACTGTCAGTTAATATTTAAATTAAATAACCAACCATATAAGCGTAATATATACCTATATTCGTGCAAGAGGTGCCACATAAAACCTATACTTACGTTTTCACAGGTATTTTTCAATTTATTTTACACAGATTTAAAGAATTCTAACAGCGAATTACTGCAATAGTTTTTAGATAAGGATATTAATTCGATATTATCCTTGACATCATTTTATAAACTAATTGTACCCACATTTGGCAAATTAAGTTTTTGAAAGCGCATGACCACATACAGGTAGCGGCGGCTGCGGGTGATGCGTATGTATTATATAGCGAAGAGCGAAGTTCATATTTATTTACTATTAACATAACTAAGACACTATTAGATACATAAATCTAGCCGTTGTATCTAATGATGAATAATTCGAGCTGAGATTTAATCATGATATATGAAGACCTTCAATAGGATATGGAGCATTAGGGGAAATCGGAAATCGAATTCGAGATCTCCGGCATTCTAAAACGTATGAAATGTAATCTTAACACTTGTCAAGTAGTTTTTTGTCTATACCTATAACCTTCACAGTTCTCATTATTAGTTCGTGTATGAATGAAAGCCGAAAAACATCGGTTTTGCTAAATTTATGTCTATAAGTAGATACGAAAGTCATAAATTTGCTAGCAATTCACATGTTCATAACGTTACCACAGCACAAACGGAACCATTAACATTCCATACAATGAACATAGGAAGACTTTATTTGTTTACAGCTGTCTAGTATTATAATAACTTAATAAGACTTATTACAACTAATAACTGCATAATGGACCGACGGGGCGGTTTTTGCTTGCCCCGCACCCGCAGTTAAAATACACCGACAAAGGCTAATAGAGATAACCGGTAGGATTGTCTCTTGATTGCCACAAATTGCTCAATACTGGACAAAAGACGCCCCCGGATAATTGAACGAAAATATTAATTTGGTAGGTATTGGACTTATAACTCCTTATTTGTTAATTTTTATACTAATTTATGATTACTAGCTATAAAAAAAATTAGGAGCATCTTACAAACTCCTTATTATATGAAATTCGTTTTAGTTATTTAATCAATTCTTTTGAAATTTGAAAAAGATTAAGCTAAAAACGTAAAACAATTTATGAAACGCGAAATTTATTAACGAAATCTGTGTCTTTAACAAAATAACCGTCTCCATAGGAAATAACGCATCATTCTTATTTTATTTATTTCTTACTTATAATTCGAAGATTGTCGGATTCGTAGCATAACTATTCCCAGAAAAAAAATAATAAGTGGGTTTAAATCTCTGTTATAGTATGTAAATATTACTCGATTCGTATCAAATTAATCATTAATTTAAGTCATAAAAGTCGATTAAGTACTTCATTGTTCACTAGGTATAGTAACGCAATTTTCCGCGGAACTATACATTTTTGCAATAAAACTTATTAAAGTAAGGATTCATAGTTTAAAAAATAATCTAGTCAATAATATTTGGTCTATTGGGTCTTAATTGGTGATCTTTATAAAGGCATACCGTACTCTGTAGTAAATTGGCTCTTTTAAGTACTGCGGTGGAAATATTATGTTTCGTTATCTTAGTGTAGCGTAGTGTCAATCACGTTAACCACTTTTAAAGTTTCGAAACGGTTCTAAATTACCGCTCTATATTTATTAACGACTAGTAATGCGTAAATTGAGACTAAGTGGTTGTGGTAATAAGCAGTAGTTACGCTCACACCAGCTACTTAGAACTTGGATTATTATTACTCATAAAATAGTCGCCTATCTTCTCTAATTAGTTCATACTTATGTTAATGTTGCCATTTGTAATACGTTGCTTCCCATTGCTGTTAGGTATTATTAACAACTCAAGCTTTTCGTTAAAAATTCAGTGTCCTGAGTGGTGTGGATTTCTAATATTAAAATAAGCTAAAACCGTAACTTAGTTAAAATATATGAAAGCATTAATCAATCTGAAGCCGGTTCTAACTAGTAGCAGTTTGTGATTAAGCATCAAAACAGGATATTCGATTAACAACCTCAAATAGCCCCTTTTATACTTACCGTAAACGGTGCATCGTTTGAGATCGGTTTTTTTGCAATCTTCGATGATACCTCCGCGGCTCTTGGTAATTTTATTATGCAAATGCAACATAAAGTGTTGCCAGCTATAATCGCTCAAATTACAACCGCTACCCAAGTACCCTGAGACAAGTGGGGAAAATGGCGCCGCTAAAAAATGGCGGGTACCTGTAATGCGTCGTAAATACAGCAATTTGATATTGACGGTCTTATTGAGAGAATGTTTTTATGGTAATGGAAATTAGAGTGTGGTTACACGAAATTATTAATGAAAACCTTCACTTTTAATGTTAAAAGTGTTGGGAGTTAATAGTTTCTGGTCTGAATCATTCTTTACGTCATTTATAAATCGTATTTTTTATTTTTTCGTGCTTTTAAACTTCAATTTTATTAATAAGTACAATGCCGAGTCTTACACACTATAGCATAAAATAGGTGGTACTAAACATCATGTCGAATTATGTAAAATGGTTAATTTCACACCGAACGTCAGCATCAATAACTTAAAAATATTGGTTTTGGATGATTAAATCAAAATTTCGCTCATGCATTCATCGGTTAATTTTAAAAATATACGATAAGCCTTAAATTATATTTGAGAATGAGTCGGTGCAGCAGAGCAATTTGGGAAATTGCAAGCGGCGATTGGTTCTGTGAATTTTTTAATTAAATTACGAGCCAGATGTTAAGAATACAGGACGTTTTTAAGAGCATCTTAATTTAATTCTAATTTATTTATGGATTACATTAGAATAAGTTCATAATAGGTCATTATTTATATAAGTAGTAGGTAGTTAGGTTACTATCCTATATTGTATGTATGTTTTTTTATATTATTTTGTATGAAATATATTTTTATAGAGAAAAGCTGAATGAAATTCTTGAATTTTCTTCTAAGATGCAAGGGATGTTCCAGGCAACTAAAAAATGTGCCAAAACATTTTTTATTTAATAAATAGAAAGCAGTATTTATCAACTGAATAATTAATAAATTAAAATTTAAAATATTTGTTTCAGGACATTTAAAAAATTAAAAAGAAACTGACATGTATTTTATGTAGACATTCCATTCTAAAATAATCCTATAGCACTATAATAAAACTTATCACAATCTATCCAATAAGTTGTTCATAGATATAAATATATATAAATGTCTGTGTCTTACACCGACTTCACTTTATTTATAATCTGGATTATGTTCATACATAGATTAAATTATGCAGGCATAATATCCGACTAAATTAATGTGCACTCCTCGTGAATTATGACTTGATATTGTCTTATCTGGGTCACTTTGATTTATACTCATCTCACTTCCTTGAAGAATGCTTTCTAATAAAGCCTGGAGAAGGTTTAGTACAATCAAATTGTTAAAGACGTTTAAAAACAATACTGTCACAACTATACGATTAATGTTGAGTTAACTTTTATTAAAAATTTAAATATCATTTATTCAATAATTAATTAACAAAACTTAATGGTACAAAAATCCAATGCTACCAAATTTACATTTACTGTCAGTTCTCAAGCAGAACGGACGAGAAGAAGGGGAGACCGGGTACAAAAGTAACGGCGGGTCGAAAGTAACAAATGCTCTCTAGATTCATCCAATGGGCGAAAACAGCTTCGCCGCCGTCAGGCGATAGCTGAGAGTGCCCCCCTCATTTGTAGTTAGTCGCCGCGTACTCCACGCACTGTTAGGTTATGTGAGAGGATAATACGTGTTTTTACAAACCAAAACTAAGTTTTTCGATATTTTGTTATTTAATGTTTACATAGTCGTAAAAGGATGGTAGTAATCTGAATGTTTGCATATCTATTTTTGATTAGATTGATTGTACATTGTTTAAATTTGTTTTTGTTTAGCACGTTCCGTTTTTAAGTTATATTTCATGTTTCAACAAAAATGAGGAAGGGTACAAAAGTAACATAGTCCTATGGGTACACAAGTAACAAACAAACCTAGCAAGATTGTTGCTCAAAAAGGAACTAAACAAGTAGGTGCAGTAACCTCAGAACGCGGAAGATTAGGAACTGTTGCTGTTGCCATTAATGCTCAAGGAGGACACATACCTCCTTTTTCGTATTCCCATTTAAACAATTCCAAGACCACATGATTCTTGAGGGTCCTGTTGGTTGTGCCGGAGCTGGCAATGCTAGTGGATGGATGCAGAATGCAGAACTTTTACTTTTTAAATAAATAATTGTTAATTAAACATATAATATTGTATTAATTACCAACCTCTTCGTCTCGTTACTTTCGACCTGCCTACGTGGTCGAAAGTA